ACCCACATCAATCTGCAAGCCCAATCGCCATACCCACTACCATTCCGCCCGTCACGACCCCACGTCACGAACCCCCTTCATCCCCCCCTACCATACTCATTACGCCCCCTTACCCTCAACCACCACCCTCACCCCCTTTTCCACCACTAGCACCATCGTCGCAGCCACAACTCTCACCCCCATGCCATGGCCATACCCACTACCATCCCATCGCGCACCCCGCTTCCTCTTTCTCCTCCTCCTCCTCCTCTCCGAGCTCTAGCTCGCCCCCATCCTCATTCCCGACTCCGACACCCACACCCCTCAATCATCACATGCCATACTGCCCACCCACCAACCAACAACAATCTCAAGCCACCCAGCTCCGACCCATCCGGATGTCGATGTCAATGGCAGGTGGGACGGCCCGAAATGCTTCCACCACGCGCTTCCCGAGGCGTTAGCGAAGAGCGCCACAAGGGCGACGCCGCGGGCTCGGCGCTCCCGCTTCCGCCAGGGACGAGCCGCGAGGCCGATCGTCGCACGCTGCGCCGGCTCGCGCGCCCATCGCCGCCGCCGCCGCCCGACTCGGACGCCTCGGGCGTCGTGCTCCTCGAGCTGAAGCGGCCGTTCTTTGCGATGCGCGGCGGCGCGCACGCGGTGAAGGACCAGACGGCGGTCGAGGGAGGCCGTGGCGTTTGCCCGCGCCGCGCCGACCGACATCGGGCTCGCAACACCGCCGCGAGACGGCGCGTTGGCGGCCGCCGTGGCGCTCGACGTCATGCGCTTCCACTTTCTCCTCGACGCCGGCTCGGACGACGCCGTCGCCCGGATCGCGCTCTCTGGCTCTGCGCTCGACGCGCGCGACTGCGTGCTTGCGCTCGTCGGCCTCCTCGGCGCCGTGTTCCCGGACCACGTCGGGCATCTGCCGTGCGGAACGAGCGGCTCCGCGCGACTCGCGGCCTCTGCGTCTGAGCGACGATGTCGGCGACTACAACGACACGGGCGCGACGCACTTTGATGGGTGTGGCGCTTTGTCGGCCCGGCCGAGCGTCTCGGCAGCGCTCCTCGAAGCGCATCTAGAGCGCGTGGCGGTCGAGGCGCCAGCTGAGAGCGCGTACGAGCTCGCACTCGCCGGTTGTCGGGCGGGCATCGCCCAGCATCGCGCCCGCCGTCGCGCGCTCGGCAACGTCTCCAACACCATGCAGTGAACGGACAAACCGCAAGCCGCGCAGCTATCGGCGCCCCGCCTTTCTCTGTGAATGCATCTTTCATCGCCATGTGCACGACATGTCGTTCAACTCCTTGTGTCCACACTCCACACTCACGCTGAGCTGGAGGCGCTGCGGATGAACGACGAGGCGGTGAGGGCCATGCCGTCGCGGGTCTCGACCTTTTACAGGCAACAGAACGCATACATCGACTCGCTGCACAAGCTCGACGAGCAGCAGCGTCGTCTGCACGCGCCGCAGCATGTTGAGGCGTAGGGCGCCGTCGCCGCACCGCATCGCGCGCCGCAGCCAGCTGCCGACGGCCTTAAACTCGGCCTGCGACCACGACGCCGCGTTGCAGATGTCCACCACCTCGGCGCCCGTCAGCTCGTAGATCTCCGGCACGGGCACGAGCCGGACCACGGGCTCGGCCGTCCCCCGCTTGATCTTGTCTGTCGTCCCGAAGAGTAAGAGGCGCGTCCCCCCCCCTCGCCGTCGGGAACCTCCCACACGGCGAGCGGCTTCTTGCCCGGCGGCTCGACGTCGGCGCCCGTGTACCGCCGCGGCGCGTCGGCGTGCGGGTACCAGAGGAACGCCAGCCGCTGCGTCGGCGTCTCGAGCCGCGCCCACACCTCGAGCGCCGCGTCCTCCAGCTCGTCCACCGTCATCGCCGTCGCCCGTTCCGGCGGCAGCAGATCAAAGACGAGCGGCAGGCTCTCGCGGCTCACCCGCGCCACCGCCGCGTCGTCGCTCGCAAACTCGCTCCCGTACTTTACGTCAAACTCGGTGAAGATCGACGCGATCGGCGCCATCTTGCTCTTGTACAGCGGGTTACCGCCCTGGGCGATCGAGTTGCTCACGGCCTCCACCTGCGCGCCCGTCACCCGCTCGAGCGTGACGCGGCCTGCCGTCCCTGACTCTACCAACGCCGTCGGCGGCCGGCTCGAGCCTGCTGCCGAACCCGAGCCGGCCGCGAGTGGCGGGTGGGACTCGGCGGCGGGTGGCGAGTCGGAGTCGGACGACGACGCGCTGCCGCTGCCGGAGGGCAGAGTCGACGACTCGGACATGGCAGTCCGGCGTACGAGGCTGCTCGCACCGTAAAGACAAGACGTTGGCCGTGGTGATGTGGGGACGAGCCCGATGGCGCCGTCGGCCGCCGCGTCCGCCCGCCAGCCGAACAAACTTTTGATCAGGCGCGCGCCAGCACCGCTGGACCAAGTGTTCCACACTCAACTCGCTCGCCACGCTATGGCCGAGGAGGAGAATGCACGCTTGCGTCGGGAGTTGGAGGATGCATTGGCGCGTGCCGCCGAAGAGCGGGCGGGACGGGAAGAAGCGTTGGCGCGTGCTGCTGCGTCGGATGCGCGCGCCGCAGCCACAGCGTCGGTCCTATGCGTGGCGGACGGGCGCCTCGGCACCGTCCCCGACCTCCGGGCGTTCATGGCTGCGTACGTCCGCGACGTGTGGCCGGCCGCGCCCGACGAGCTCGACGCCGCCGTCGCTGCTGCACTCGCCGAGTATGTCCCGAGCGAGCGTAGCGCGAACGAGTCGGCCGAGTTCAGCTCGCACTCGAGCTCGAGCCAGCGCGGGCTCCGGTTCTCTGCGTTCCGGCGGCACCTGGAGGACGATGTTGTCGTCAAACTCGTGCGAAGCGACGTGATGAGCCTCCTCGGCGGAGCAGTGGCCGGCGCGCTCGGGGCCGGCGTCGCCGACACGCTTGTGGCCGACCTCGAGCTCGCCCGCTCGTTCCTCGTCGTCGAACGAGCGCGTCAGCGCGCGGTAGCCGAGGCGGCGGGGGCAAGCAGCTCGTCGGCGGCAGTCTCGGAGGACTCGGTGGTCTTCTACGTCGCGCAGTGGTGGCTCGGGCAAGCGGCGGGCGCGGTGGCCGACGCGTGGCAGGTCTTTGACGGGCGCGGCGCCGAGGTCTCGGTGACGGTGCCCGTCACGGACCGCACGGCGCGGAGCTACACGGGCAAGACGGACGTCTTTGTGGGGCTCGGCGCAGCGAGCGCCGACGCCGACGCCGCAGTCGAGGTCGAGCTTGGTCTCTGGTTTCTCGCCGAGCTCAAGCGGCCGTTCGACCGGCTGGCGGGCGGGGGCGGGAGCGCCAAGGACCAGCTCCTCCTCGAGGTTGCGGCGTACGCGACGTCGCGGGAGGCATCACGCGCCGAGGAGGCTCCGTGGCGTCCGATGGTCGGCGTCGTGACCGACCTCTTCCGCGTCAACGTGGCGTTCGACCTCCCCGACTCGGCGTGGGACGACGGGCCGTGGCAGCTGGGGCTGGGCACGCGCGTGGTGACGCCGGCGGCCGAGTACGTGCGCGTCGTGTTGGGCGCGCTGGTCCTCGCGTACTGGGACGACGTCAGCGAGGGCGTGCGGGCGGCAGCCTCTGCTGAAGGGGCGGCGTCCGTGAGCGCTTGGGTGGAGCGCCTCGTGGCGGACGAGGACGTCGACGTCTTTGCGAGCGAGGAAGGCTCGTCTGATGATGAGACAGAGGCTGATGACACGACACCCCGGCCACGGCGCGCGCTCCGGTCGGGCGCGGCGCGGTCGAGCGCCGCGCCGACGGCTGCGTCGAGCAGCGCCTCGTCGTCGTCGCACGGCTCTGGTGCGCGCGCAAGCCAGGGGAGCGTGGAAAAGCGCTTTCAGCGCGTCGCCGCGACGCGCGAGGCCTTGCTCGAGATCGTGGGTAACACGGTGGCGAGCCGGTAAATCCGTCCGCCAGCCTCTGCGATGATAAGGTGCGTGAGCCTTCCCACCACGCACGATCCTCAGCTGTTAGTATGACTTGCGCCCCGTCGGATAGGCAACCTTCCCGTCGGACGCCGCCACCCTCACTTCGTCGCCCACGAGCACAGACTCTGGCGCCGCGACGTGCCGGCAGCCCCGCCCGCCGGGCGGCGCCGCCCGCCCGCACTTCATATTTTCAAACGCGCTCGGAGCGCAACACCTCACATCCCCACCCCACCTCACCCTCCACCACCCCCACCATGTCGCGCCCCGGGATGTTCGACGACACGCCCGGCGCACACACCATGTTTGGCCGGTGGATGGTCGAGACGCTCCTCGCCGACCGTCTCCGCCGCCCCGTGGCCCCCCGTGGCCGCCGGCCCTCGGCCCCTTCCGCGCGTGCTACACCCCGGCCTGCCGCGGCGCGAGCGACTACCTCGTCACCGCCGCCCACGGCGTCGCCGGCCCGCTCACCCTCTGCGAGCGCTGCTTCTGGCCGCCCGTGCTCGCCGCGTTTGGCGCCGAGTACAAGCTCGAGGCCGACGCCGCCGCCGCCGACGCCGCTGTCATCGACCTCCCGCCCGTCGCCTTGCCGCTGTTCGGCCCGGGCGTGGCGTTCACGCTCGACGCCGTGTGGCGCGTGACGCCGCTCGCCTCGCCCCCCCTCTCTGCGCCGCACTGGCTGGCGGACGAGCGGCCGACGGCGCGCCTGCTCGACGGCGTGTGGGCGGCGCTCCCGGGCGAGCGCGGCGGCGGGACCAACGCGCGGCGGGTGCGGCAGCTGGAGCGCGGGCCGGACGCGACGCCGGTGCTTGTTGGCACGCACGCGCTCATCTTCCTCCGCAACGCGCTCGACTCGGTGCCGTACGTGACGGGCGCCGTCCGCTCGCGGGCGTTTGGGTGGCTCGCCGACGAGTGGGCCGACGCGTCGACGGGGACGCGGCCGTTCGCCATGTCGGGCTTTGGGCGGTGGTTCAAGGAGCACGGCGCCGAGCACTTTACGGCCAACCACACGCGCCAGCAGGTCTACGACCGGCTCGTCCGCTACTTTGTCCGCCGCGTCGTCGGTGGGTGCAAGGTCTGGTCGCGCACCGGCTATTCGCCCGAGACCGCCGACGACGCGCTCTTCGAGTGGTCCGAGCTCCCGCGCGGCGGCCCGCCGATGCTCGTGAGCCTCCGCAACGCGCTCAACGCCGTCCCGGCCGTGCCCGACGCCGCATCCGGGCGCGCGTTCGGCTGGCTCGGCTCGGGCCGCGACGCCGACGTCGGCGGCCGGGCCTTTGACATGTCCGGCTTTGCGGACTGGTTTGCCGAGGACGGACGGAGCTACTTTCCGGCCAGCTACTCGTGCAAGCAGATCCTCGCGTGTCTCAAGTGCTACTTTGCGGTGCGGGTGGTCGCGGCGAGTGCTTTGCTGACGCAAAGCGAAAGTATTTATCGGCGGCACTCTCCTTTTTTTAACAAAAGGCCCACTCAGGGAGGTGCTAGTCCTCGGAGATGACGACAACGTAGTCGTCTTTGTGCCAGACGATGGGCGTGGACTTGTCGAGGGGGTTAAGAACAGGATCAGGATCAGTGTCGGGCCTGCGGTAGCCGATGAGGATGTGGCCGCGCGCGAGCGCGCGCGAAGTAAGCTGGTAGAAGGAAAGCGTCTCGCCGTCGTCGGCGTAGAGCCACATGTGCTTGATGTGAATTTCGGGGCCTTCTGCGGTGAAAAGGGCGTCAACAATGTCAGCCATGACCGACTGCTCAGCGATCTGGGTGAGGACCATCGTGTACCCTACTACATACACACACTACCTCGTTGCACAATGTGCAGGACCGAGGTGGTGCGCGGGTCGAGGATTTCCGAGACGATGACCGAGTCGGGGTTGCCACGCTTGGTCTGGATGTCGCGGACGAGGAGCATGGTGACCATAGTCTGCGAGTCTGAAGCCATGCCGGACGACGGCGCGCCGGCGTTGTCGCCACCAAGGACCATGACCACGTCAAAGTGCTCGAGTGGGAGTGCCTCGAGCTGGCTTCGCGCGATGGGGTTGCCGGTCACATGATAGAGGTTCATGTTGGTTGTCGACGGGATGACGCCATCGCGGGTCGCCTCGTGGCGCTCAGCAAGGGTAAGCGGGGAGAGGACGGTGAGGGACGAGCCTGGTGCGACCCACTGGTCGAGCTCCACGATCATGTCCTCGACGTCGCGGCGCCAGCCGCAGAACAGGACGTGCTCTGCCGGGTGCGGCGGCTCGGGCGCGTCGAGCGCAGGCGATGGCGAGCCGGGCAGAGCCCAGGCCGAGCGCGGCCGGAGGGTGTACGAGTCGTTGTCCTCGGCAATGACGACAACGGCGTCGCCAGTTTGCAGAACGTAGTCGGACGGCGGAAGCATGACGAGCGGCGATTTGCCTGCTCGGGAGTTGCCGTACTTGATGCCGACTGGAACAGCGCCGTCAAAGGCTGCGAGGACCGCGGCAAACGACACACCCTCCAGTTGCGGCCAGACTTGGACGTAGAGCTCGTTGCGGTCAAACTCAAGGAGGTGGGCAAAGATGGAGGCGAGGCCTGGCTCGCGTGAGCACTGGATCATGATGCGGCCCATGATGTCGTGGGCCACGACGGGGATGACCTCTACGGACGACGACGACATGGCGAGCTTGACAATGTCCAGGTTGTCAACGTCCGAGAGCTCGACCACGACATGGCCCGAGAGCGACGGCGACGACGCGAGCGCCAGGCACGAGCGGACAACCTGAGCGTCGGCTTCGTCGGCGCTGCCGCCGGGTGAGAGGACCACGATCGAGCGCGCCGTCGGGACCGAGCACTTGCGCAGATCGTAAACGTCGATGGGCGAACCGGAGCGAGTGACAACTCGCGTTCCGCGCAGCATCTCTGGACTCAGCTCCTCCATGAGCATGGTGTCCATCTCCTCCTTGGGCATGGCCGCCATGATGACCACCGTCCCACCGCCCTCGGACTCGTTGGCGAGCGCAATCTGCACAATCATGGGCACAATATTGGGCGTCCAGCCGAGAATGAGCGAGTGGCCCGACTCGACAACCGCCGAACGGCCCTCCTTAAGCGACTCCATCTTCTGGGCAATGCCGTCGCCGATGAGACCGACGAGCAAAGCAAAGAAGAGCATGCCGCCGAGAGTGAGAGCGACGCCGACTGCCCGTGGGCCAAGGCCATTCTCCTCGGCGTGTGTGCCCGGGTCTGCAACCATGACCCACGACATCCACAAGGCTTCACTCAGCGATCGGTCCCACGCCGCAACGTAGTACAGCAAGCCACCCACAACGATGAGGACGGCGGTGACGACGGCGAGCAGAAGGTACTTTGAGCTCGGAAAGGTGGCAAAGAAGTAGTCGAGCCGATACGCCGCCACGGCCTTCCAGTCGTCGACAACCTCGCTCCCCGCTTGCTTTCGCACCCTTGCCCTCTCCACCTCGCTCACCTTGCCGAGCACAGCTGTGTGCGTCCGCGTCTTGCGCATCCGCCGCAGCGTCATGGCCGTGTCTGCCAGCGGGGCTCCAGCGCGGGTGGGTAGCACAGTCGACATCCGCCGCGCCCGCAATCGTGTCGCCAGTGGCACATGCTCCATAGACGACATGCTCTCCACCTCTGCTGGTCCCGGGTCAAGTGGTGCTCAGCGTCGTCGTCGGCGAGCGGCCGAGCAGAGTGCGCGAGTCGTGAGCGGGCCGACGTGATAGTGTCCGGTGGAATGTGAACGATAAGGGCTGGATATCGACAATCGCAGCAGTAGAGGTGATGTGCAAGACATGACTACACTATGTGGTGGGGAAATGGTGGTGTGTGGGGTCTCGGCGGTCGTCGATGGGCTGTTGGACGCGGATGCGGCGGTGCGGGAGTGGCAGAGTGCGGCATGACCAAAAACGAATGGCAAAACGAGTGGCAATCGTTTGCTTCCGGTGGGCCGGACGAGAAGGTCGTGGGGGTGGGAATGGGACGATCGTGACGAGTTGGTGGTAGCAAAGTGAAGTTAGTGCAATGCTGAGGTTACGGTGGATGGAAGGAGAGGCAAAGAGCGGGCGTAGCATGGATGATGCGGCTGTTTGAGATGCTGAAAAAGGATGAGGTGAGAATCGGAGATCATGGTTGAGGTGACATAGTAAGCAGTAGGCGGCTTGCTGGGCATGGCGCAAGATCACGGGAGCACAAGGCAAAAGACATGATGTATATGAGCAGAGGGCAGAAATAGAGATAGTCCAAGGGCGCTCTTGGAGATCACGTTGTAAGGATCGCGGTAAACTAAGGGTGGCTTGGCCTCTGCGACAGGGAGACAAGCAAGACGATTGTAGAGAGACTTGCGATGACATGGGCCGGATCCCGGCGAGGAGGACTCGTGGCAGTCACGTGTGCTGATGGTGTAGTCTCAGAGTCTGCGGAGAGGCAACAAACCAAGTCACAGCTGGACAGGAACCTCTGGCTGCTGGGCGACGGCTCGACGGCCCGACGGGAGCGACGGGATGGATATCGGAGACCGACTGGACGGCTACTACTGCCACGGTTGTGGAAAGACGGCATCACGTGCGTCACGGGCTCTGCGAACAAGAGCGAGATCGAGATCAGCGGCTGAGACAACGAGGCGAGCGACGAGCACACCGTCCTGCCAGCAGCCAAGAGCCGCGACCTGACGACCGGGAATGAGAGCCGAGTCGGCATCTAGCAGAGGCGTAGCGAGAGTAACGGCGTCATCGACGTACGCTTTGTCGGCGGCAAGATCCACGGCGGTCACGGAGCCATAGAGGCGAAGATAGGCGCCGTCCGGGACGTGACCGACGCGCAGCTCGTCAGCAAAGACCACCCTCCCGGCACAGATGCCCACCTCTCGCGGCTTTGCCTCGCCCGGAGCCACAAGCGCAACCTTCACACCTACAGTCTCTGACGCAGCCATACCGCCCACACCCAACCGCCTTGTCGTCTTGTCGCGCCCTGGCGACGAGTCTGTCCCGCCCACGCCTGCGCCCACGCCCTTGGCCGTCCGAGTCGCCCACTTTGCACACGGCGCACTCTCTCTTGGCTCGACCCACGGCGCTTTGTTCAAGTAGTTCGACGGCATCCGCTACTACTCGCTGACAACACCGACGTCATCCATGCGCTCGTCGCTCGCTGCGCTGATGCTGCTTGTGGTGGGCATTGTTGTGGTCTTTGTCTTTGCTTCGGCTCGCCTGGCGGCTCAGCCGTCGGCGGCAGCGAGTGCGACGTCGACGCATCGGCAGACGTTGCCGACGACTTCTCGCACGCATCCGCCGCCATCAATGGATGGATCTCAGGAGTCAGGGGGTAGAGTTGGCCGGCGTGGAGATGGTGGCGATGAGGCAGAGTCGCCACGACTGTGGTCGTCGTCGTCGGCATGGACCGGCTCACAGCTGTCGTCACAGGGCTCGTCGTCATCATCGTCGCGGGCTGGTTTGTATGGCGGCGCGGATGCAGACGCGGATGCAACGGAGTATGATGTTGGTAAGCGAGTGTTTGCATTCTCACTTTACTCGGACACAGCCAAGTTTATGGTTGGAGCGGTGGAGAATGCCAAGTTGGTGCGGGAGCTGTTTCCCGGCTGGATCGCTCGATTCTACCACGACAAGAGCGTGCCAGCGGCTGTTCTGGAGGAGCTGACAGCGCTGGGAGCCGAGCTTGTAGACTGCTCTGATGCAGGGATCGAAGGATCACAGGCTGGCATGTACTGGCGATTTCTGGTGGCGGAGGGCGAGCTGGACGCGTATGCTGTGCGCGACGTGGACGCGCGACTGATGGAGCGGGATGTGGCGGCGGTGAACGAGTGGCTGGTATCCGGCAAAGACTACCATGTCATTCGCGACCATCCAGAGCACTCACGGTTTCCGATGTGGACCATGCTTTGGGGTGGGCGCACACCCATTCACAACATACGGGAGCTCATTGTGAATCACGCCGACACGCACGTCTTTTTTAACGACATGCACTTTGTCAACAGCTACGTGTGGCCGCTGATCAAAGGCTCGGTATTTGAGCACGACTGCTGGTCGTGTACGACGCTTGGCGGCAAGTGTGTGGACGTGGTGCGGTCGGAGGCAGGCGAGCACATGGGCGCGGTGTTTGACGAGCACGGCGAGATGCGGGCCGGCGACGTGGCGATCCTCAAGCGACGGATGCCCGAGCCGGCAGCGTGTCGCACGTACCAAACTCCAAAATGAATGCGTTTACGTTGGGCAGGGCGATCAGACCTCAAACTCCTCTTCGACATGAGCAGCATTGCCGTAGGTGAGCGAGCGATCAGAGAGACCCAAGAGATCGTCGGTATCGATATCGATCGAGCCGCCGGAGGCACCGAGACGGGCGGCTGACGACGAGGACACAACTGTCCGGTGCTCGGCCGGGAGCTGCCCTGGAATGTCTAGCGGACGCAAGCAAAGCTCACAGACGTGATCGTTGCCAGCACCATGACCAGAGTGGTCGACGAGACAGGCGACACAGGCCGGGACGACATCACTAGACTGGCGGGGGTCCGTGGTGGGAACCAGGACCTTGGCATCTGGGCCGACACCGCACCAGACGCAGACGAGCTGGTCAGGCGTAAAGGCAGTGCCCCAGAGCGGGATGGTCGCAGGGACAGCCTCTTCGACCATCACATCTACAACAGGCGCGGGCTCTTCAGATGCGTCATTCAGACCATGTTGGGCGACCTGGGCCTTGATGGCGTCGGCGATCGGCCCAGCCTGGGCGGCGACACGAACTTCAGTGGCATCCTGGACAGCCTTTTGCTCTTCTGGCGAGGCAAGACCAAGTTCCGCGTGGCGCGGTTCCGAGTCGGTGCTTGCATCGACGCCATCGGTAGTATCTCCAACGGTGTAAATGACGTCGCCATCGACGACGCCTCCGATGTGGTGGGTGGTGACAAGCGGGACGACGGGCGGCGACGACGATTCTGGAGCAGTGGTCGCGGTAGGCTTGGCGACAAGGCGTGTACCGACTGTAGTGACCGCGACTGGGGCGTTGCCGAGTGCATTTGACGAGGCGACGTCATCAACCGAGACAGAAGCGGCCTTGGAGACCAGCGACTGGATGCTGCCAGGCTTATGCGAGCGGGCACCAAGTACAATCGGAGGCGCTGCCGAGACAGCTGCAGACTCGGTAGTGGTACAGACGCGTGAGATGACTGCGGGTGGGTCTTCCACAAGAAATTGGGTGGCAGCCGCCGGAGGGGTTGTCATGGCAACATCACTGGTGTGGGAGACCGGCGGCACCACGTCCTTGCCACTACGAGCGTCGGTGGTTGGAGTCACACCAAGCGCCTCAGAAGCCGACAGGTCGTCGTCACTATCAGAGCTAGAGTACGAGCCTGAACCCGAGCTCGAGCCCGAACCCGAGCCCGACTCCTCACCAGCAACGTAGATCTGGTCAACATCGGTCACGCCACCGACGTTGTGCTTGGTTGCGAGACCGCCGGCTGCGAGCGCAGCAGGAGCGGCAGCGCCGGCCACAGATGCCTTGGGCACCACACGAGCAGCCACGGCAGACTCGGGCGTGTTCTTGCCGAGTACGTCCGCGTTGGGACCAGTCGCATCAACCGACACCGTCGCCGACTTGGAGACGAGCGGCTGGACACCGCCAGCGTCACCGGCAAGCACAATAGGCGGAGCGGCGGCGATGGACGACGACTCGGTCGTCTTGCACACGCGCGAGACGACTGGGGCAGAGTTCTCCACAACCACGGTATTCGGTGCAGCAGGGGCTGGCTCGTCGCCAGACGATGCAGCAACAGCAGCGCCGGCAGCACCTGCACCAGCAGCCACAGCCGCAACGACAGGAGCATCGCTACCGTCATCGCCATCAGCCCCGTCGTCGTCGGCGGCAGCAGGCTCGACAGGCTCCTCGGTGACAGCAGGCTCGGCGGGCTCGTCCGAAGCGCCAACGTTGTCGTCAGCGGCATCAGAAGCCTCGTCCGAGCCGGAGCCCGAGCCCGAGCCCGAACCCGACCCCGAATCTTCACCAGCAACAAAGGTCACGCCACCGACGCTGTGCTTCGTCGCAAGACCACCCGCTGCGACCGCAGCAGGAGCGGCAGCGCCGGCCACGGATGCCTTGGGCACCACACGAGCAGCCACGGCAGACTCGGGTGTGTTCTTGCCAAGCACGTCCGCGTTGGGACCGGTAGCGTCAATCGACACCGTCGCCGACTTGGAGACGAGCGGCTGGACACCGCCAGCGTCACCGGCAAGCACGATAGGCGGAGCGGCGGCGATGGACGACGACTCGGTCGTCTTGCACACGCGCGAGACGACTGGGGCAGAGTTCTCCACAACCACGGTCTTGGTCGCAGCAGGGGCTGGCTCGTCGCCAGCAACAGCAGCACCGGCAACAACAGCAGCACCTGCACCAGCAGCCACAGCCGCAACGACAGGAGCATCGCTACCGTTATCGCCATCAGCACCGTCGTCGTCGGCGACAGCAGGCTCGACAGGCTCCTGGGCGGCAGCAGGCTCGACAGCATCCTCGGCGGCAGCAGGCTCGGCGGGCTCGTCCGAAGCGCCAACGTTGTCGTCGGCGGCATCGGAAGCCTCGTCCGAGCCCGAGCCCGAGCCCGAGCCCGAATCTTCACCAGCAACGTAGATCTGCTCGACATCGGTCACGCCACCGACATTGTGCTTCGTCGCAAGACCACCCGCTGCGACCGCAGCAGGAGCGGCAGCGCCGGCCACGGATACCTTGGGCACCACACGAGCAGCCACGGCAGACTCGGGTGTGTTCTTGCCGAGTACGTCAGCGTTGGGACCAGTCGCATCAACCGACACCGTCGCCGACTTCGAGACGAGCGGCTGGACACCGCCAGCGTCACCGGCAAGCACGATAGGCGGAGCGGCGGCGATGGACGACGACTCGGTCGTCTTGCACACGCGCGAGACAACCGGAGCAGAGTCCTCCACAACCACGGTCTTCGGTGCAGCAGGGGCTGGCTCGTCGCCAGACGATGCAGCAACAGCAGCGCCGGCAACAACAGCAGCACCTGCACCAGCAGCCACAGCCGCAACGACAGGAGCATCGCTACCGTCATCGCCATCAGCCCCGTCGTCGTCGGCGACAGCAGGCTCGACAGGCTCCTCGGCGACAGCAGGCTCGGCGGGTTCGTCCGAAGCGCCAACGTCGTCGGCGGCATCGGAAGCCTCGCCCGAGCCGGAGCCCGAACCCGAGCCCGAACCCGACCCCGAATCTTCACCAGCAACGTAGATCTGGTCGACATCGGTCACGCCACCGACGCTGTGCTTCGTCGCAAGACCACCCGCTGCGACCGCAGCAGGAGCGGCAGCGCCGGCCACGGATGCCTTGGGCACCACACGAGCAGCCACAGCAGACTCGGGTGTGTTCTTGCCGAGCACATCCGCGTTGGGACCGGTAGCGTCAACCGACACCGTCGCCGACTTGGAGACGAGCGGCTGGACACCGCCAGCGTCACCAGCAAGCACAATGGGTGGAGCGGCGGCGATGGACGACGACTCGGTGCTCTTCGCGATGCGCGAGACGACCGGAGCAGAGTCCTCCACAACCACTGTCTTCGGTGCAGCAGGGGCTGGCTCGTCGTCAGACGATGCAGCAACAGCAGCACCGGCAACAACAGCAGCACCCGCACCAGCAGCCACAGCCGCAACGACAGAAGCATCGCTGCCGTCATCGCCATCAGCCCCGTTGTCGTCGGCGGCAGCGGCCTCGGCAGGCTCCTGGGCGGCAGCAGGCTCGACAGCATCCTCGGCGGCAGCAGGCTCGGCGGGCTCGTCCGAAGCGCCAACGTTGTCGTCGGCGGCATCGGAAGCCTCGTCCGAGCCCGAGCCCGAGCCCGACTCCTCACCAGCAACGTAGATCTGGTCAACATCGGTCACGCCACCGACGTTGTGCTTGGTCGCGAGACCACCCGCTGCGACCGCAGCAGGAGCGGCAGCGCCGGCCACGGATGCCTTGGGCACCACACGAGCAGCCACAGCAGACTCGGGTGTGTTCTTGCCGAGCACATCCGCGTTGGGACCAGTCGCATCAACCGACACCGTCGCCGACTTCGAGACGAGCGGCTGGACACCGCCAGCGTCACCGGCAAGCACGATGGGCGGAGCGGCGGCGATGGACGACGACTCGGTCGTCTTGGTGATGCGCGAGACGACTGGGGCAGAGTCCTCCACAACCACGGTCTTCGGTGGAGCAGGGGCTGGCTCGTCGCCAGCAACAGCAGCACCGGCAACAACAGCAGCACCTGCACCAACAGCCACAGCCGCAACGACAGGAGCATCGCTACCGTTATCGCCATCAGCCCCGTCGTCGTCGGCGACAGCAGGCTCGACAGGCTCCTCGGCGACAGCAGGCTCGGCAGGCTCCTCGGCGGCAGCAGGCTCGGCGGGTTCGTCGGCGGCAGCAGGCTCGGCGGGCTCGTCCGAAGCGCCAACGTCGTCGTCAGCGGCATCGGAAGCCTCGCCCGAGTCGGAGCCCGAACCCGATCCCGAACCCGAGCCCGACTCCTCACCAGCAACGTAGATCTGGTCAACATCGGTCACGCCACCGACGCTGTGCTTCGTCGCAAGACCACCCGCTGCGACCGCAGCAGGAGCGGCAGCGCCGGCCACGGATGCCTTGGGCACCACACGAGCAGCCACGGCAGACTCGGGTGTGTTCTTGCCGAGTACGTCAGCGTTGGGACCAGTCGCATCAACCGACACCGTCGCCGACTTGGAGACGAGTGGCTGGACACCGCCAGCGTCACCGGCAAGCACGATAGGCGGAGCGGCGGCGATGGACGACGACTCGGTCGTCTTGCACACGCGCGAGACAACCGGAGCAGAGTCCTCCACAACCACTGTCTTCGGTGCAGCAGGGGCTGGCTCGTCGCCAGCAACAGCAGCACCGGCAACAACAGCAGCACCTGCGCCAGCAGCCACAGCCGCAACGACAGCAGCATCGCTACCGTTATCGCCATCAGCCCCGTCGTCGTCCGCGTAAGCAGGCTCGACAGGCTCCTCGGCGACAGCAGGCTCGGCAGGCTCCTCGGCGGCAGCAGGCTCGGCGGGTTCGTCGGCGGCAGCAGGCTCGGCGGGCTCGTCCGAAGCGCCAACGTTGTCGTCGGCGGCATCGGAAGCCTCGCCCGAGCCGGAGCCCGAGCCGGAGCCCGAGCCCGAGCCCGACTCCTCACCAGCAACGTAGATCTGGTCGACATCGGTCACGCCACCGACGTTGTGCTTGGTCGCGAGACCGCCGGCGGCAAAAGCACCAACACCGGCCGTTGCGCCGGCCACGGATGACTTGGGCACCACACGAGCAGCCACGGCAGACTCGGGCGTGTTCTTGCCGAGCACGTCCGCGTTGGGACCAGTAGCGTCGATCGACACCGTCGCCGACTTCGAGACGAGCGGCTGGACACCACCAGCGTCACCGGCAAGCACAATGGGCGGAGCGGCGGCGATGGACGACGACTCGGTCGTCTTGCACACGCGCGAGACGACTGGGGCAGAGTCCTCCACAACCACTGTCTTCGGTGCAGCAGGGGCTGGCTCGTCACCAGACGATGCAGCAACAGCAGTACCGGCAACAACAGCAGCACCTGCACCAGCAGCCACAGCCGCAGCGACAGGAGCATCGCTACCGTCATCGCCATCAGCCCCGTCGTCGTCGGCGACAGCAGGCTCGACAGGCTCCTCGGCGGCAGTAGGCTCGACAGCATCCTCGGCGGCAGCAGGCTCGGCGGGTTCGTCCGAAGCGCCAACGTCGTCGTCGGCGGCATCCGAGGCTGCGTCCGAGCCGGAGCCCGAGCCCGAGCCCGAATCTTCACCAGCAACGTAGATCTGCTCGACATCGGTCACGCCACCGACATTGTGCTTCGTCGCAAGACCACCGGCTGCGAGCGCAGCAGGAGCGGCAGCGCCGGCCACGGATGACTTGGGCACCACACGAGTAGCCACGGCAGACTCGGGTGTGTTCTTGCCGAGCACGTCAGCGTTAGGACCAGTCGCATCAACCGACACCGTCGCCGACTTCGAGACGAGCGGCTGGACACCGCCAGCGTCACCGGCAAGCACGATGGGCGGAGCGGCGGCGATGGACGACGACTCGGTCGTCTTACACACGCGCGAGACAACCGGAGCAGAGTCCTCCACAACCACGGTCTTCGGTGCAGCAGGGGCTGGCTCGTCGTCAGACGATGCAGCAACAGCAGCACCGGCAACAACAGCAGCACCTGCACCAGCAGCCACAGCCGCAACGACAGCAGCATCGCTGCCGTCATCGCCATCAGCCCCGTTGTCGTCGGCGGCAGCAGGCTCGGCGGGTTCGTCGGCGGCAGCAGGCTCGGCGGGTTCGTCCGAAGCGCCAACGTCGTCGGCGGCATCGGAAGCCTCGCCCGAGCCGGAGCCCGAACCCGAGCCCGAACCCGAGCCCGAATCTTCACCAGCAACGTAGATCTGGTCAACATCGGTCACGCCACCGACGCTGTGCTTCGTCGCAAGACCACCCGCTGCGAGCGCAGCAGGAGCGGCAGCGCCGGCCACGGATGACTTGGGCACCACACGAGCAGCCACGGCAGACTCGGGTGTGTTCTTGCCGAGCACGTCCGCGTTGGGACCGGTAGCGTCAACCGACACCGTCGCCGACTTGGAGACGAGTGGCTGGACACCGCCAGCGTCACCGGCAAGCACGATAGGCGGAGCGGCGGCGATGGACGACGACTCGGTCGTCTTGGTGATGCGCGAGACAACCGGAGCAGAGTCCTCCACAACCACGGTCTTGGTCGCAGCAGGGGCAGGCTCGTCACCAGACGATGCAGCAACAGCAGCACCGGCAACAACAGCAGCACCTGCACCAGCAGCCACAGCCGCAGCGACAGGAGCATCGCTACCGCTATCGCCATCAGCCCCGTCGTCGGCGGCGACAGCAGGCTCGACAGGCTCCTCGGCGGCAGTAGGCTCGACAGGCTCCTCGGCGGCAGCAGGCTCGGCGGGCTCCTCGGCGGCAGCAGGCGCAGCGGGCTCGTCCGAAGCGCCAACGTCGTCGTCGGCGGCATCGGAAGCCTCGCCCGAGCCGGAGCCCGAACCCGAGCCCGAACCCGAGCCCGAATCTTCACCAGCAACGTAGATCTGGTCGATATCGGTCACGCCACCGACGCTGTGCTTCGTCGCAAGACCACCCGCTGCGACCGCAGCAGGAGCGGCAGCCGCCGGCCACGGATGCCTTGGG